CAGACTCTGCGCAAGTAAGAGTGTGTGTGTGTGTGTCTGATTCGGTGGGGGTGGGAGGGGCGACCCATCCCCCACCAATCAATCAATCAATCAATCAATTAATCAATCAATCAATCAATCAATCAATCAATCAATCAATCAAAAAAAAAAAGAAAAAAAATATATATATGTTTTGAGTCTGGTTTTGTTTTTGATTTTTTAAAAATAATTTTAATGCTAAAAAAATAAAAATAAAAATATGGGGATGTAGTTTTTTATTTTTTTTTCACTTATGTTTTGCCTGCAAAAAAAAAATCCGCGGACCGAGTTGTACCACTTTCAACTCAGTTTAACGCGGAGTTGCAACGAGAGTTGAACGGGAGTTAAACCGTTCAACTCAAAACCCCCGTTGAATCCGATTTCGGACACACAGCCCGGAGGAAAGAGTAGTGGCGGTACTTAGAGCCGCTCGGGACTCCGGAGTGCGGACAAGAGGGTTGTTCTGACTCTATACGCGGTGTGTGGACGCTGGGGCTCCCCCTAGGGGAGAGCTGTCCTCTATATTCGAGAGATTGAGGGAGTTTGAAGGGGTCCGAGCACACGTCGCGGACGTCCCGTACGCCCGCCTTTTCGGGGAAGAGCAAGTGGCTAACCGGCGGGGGTACGAAGCTCGATGATAAGAGGGGTTCCATGGACTCTTTGGGCCTCAATAGAGCCTGGGAAGTAGCAGAGATCCGCAGAGGGAGAGCATTCGTTCGATTGACAGTGAGCAGCGGAGAGGGGTTAGTGGTCGGAGAGACCACAGTGTTTCTTTCTAACGAGGGGTTTCTGGAAATGGTCTGCAACTCGAAATTGAGGGAGGACCCGCTTGTAGACGCACCGACGGTTCAAGAGCATTTAGAGAGGCTTGTGGAGGAAGCAAGTCCTCGAGAGGAGTACCCTGGCGTCTACCGAGTGATCTACGCAGGGTGGGAAGAAATACCTCGATTTTTCGACAGTGATCCCGTCGGAGTCCCTCGATTAATCCTTGAGCGGGTCTATCCCTCGGAAGCGGTCGGGAAGGCATTGGGACGTAGGATCGCGATCCTGAACCAATTTCGGTTCACTAGGTCGGACCTGCATTCCCTATTGACCTGGTGCCTTCAGAGTCCATACGAGGACAATTGGTCGTCACTAGAGGGTCTGGGCTACGCCTTTCAGGGCAGGGGCCAACATGTAAAGGTCTCGACCATCACCTGGAGATACTTGGGCAAAATCTGTGAGGCAGGGTTAGAAGGATTAGACCCCTCGGATCTCATACGGATAGCTATAGCGTGCTGACGGAGGAATCTGAAGCATGAGTGAGCCCGACATCGGGGAACTGGTGGGTCTAGAAAGGGTTAAGGCAGAGTTATACCAGATATTAGCCCTTTGCTGGGAGGAGGAAAGGAGGGCAAGACCAGGAGCCTTACGGAGGATCAAGTTGGTAGAGACTACCATTATCAAAGTACTAGATGACTTGAAAGAGGAGCTACTCTCCGGGAGAGGAGAGGCATGAGAGCCTCCTACACCTCAAGCTCGATAAATTGGGAGTTGGAGACAAGGGACGACGGCCCCGAGGTCGAGACAGTAGGAGGGGCGGATCTTGGCCCAGAACTTGGAGAGGACCAAGTGGTTAGAGCCAAGAAGAGCTTCCTCATCGAGATCCGACGACTGACCTTGTGGAAAAGGAGGTCCTGGACTACCCTAGCGAGGTTTTCGATCGCTATTAGGGGGGCGAGAGAGGTGCGGTTCTCTAGAACATGGAGAGAGACCCTGTCGGAGGTCGAGAGAAGGTTCGAGGAGGACTCTAGGTGGCTTGGAAACCTACTCGAGGCCAGGGTGCACCTAGTAGAGGCGCGTTTTTGGGACAGGTCGGGTGAGTACGAGCAGACATTGCATCAAACGATACTCGAGCAGGGCGAAGGCTCTCGAGAGAGGTGTGAGGACTTGCTCGTCGAGGCGGCGGACAGATTGGCTCGGGTAGGGTAAGCCGGCCAATGATTAGGTACGATAGGGGGGACCTTATCGGAACCTTGGAAAGGGTCTGGAAGACGAGATCTAGGTATGGAGTGACCCTCCCTAGAGTTGAGGAAGAAGGGGAGGTCACTACGGAATTCTTCGAAATATACGGGCAAGAAACGCTGGTCCGTTTCTCGATAGTCTCAATCGACGGTACCCGCACGCGAAGAGCAGAGATCTTCTTGTCTCCCAACGACAGGGAGTTCTTTGCTACGGAGTTAGCGGAAGGAAAAGACCCTCTGAGTATCGCGGAGAGAACCCGAGATCGACTTAGAAGGTTGAGAGGGGGAGCGGCAGGAAGGCGTGAGATAGAAAGGGTTGAATACCGAGGACGATTAGAGATCCCACGGGCAGCCCACGGCCGGACCTGGGAGATCCCTGCTTGGGTCTACCGATTGCTCTACCCCGACAACACAGCGGTGAGGAAAGTCCAAATTAGAGGACCGATAATTGAGAAATTCCCCCTGGGGGAGGAAAAGGGGCACGAGCTGTTCACCCTGTGTTGGGAGTCCCTAGAGCTCACGGACTTTGAGTGGTGGGCTTTGGTAGGCGACTTCATCAAACCCCTGTTCTCTGGACGGGCCGGTGAAGTGGATAGAGACCTGATTAGGCGGTGCTCGCAAGAAGGGATCAGGGGCATCTCGGACCTGGAGATTGCTAACCTGGCGCTGGCCGCTAGCGAAGAGAAAAAACTGCGGGACGCTTGGTGGACTGTGACTAGTGAGGAGTCCGAAGGAGATAGTGAGGCACGGGAATCGAGTGAAGGGGGAAGAGGCTCGGAAGAAAGTAGCGGGGCGGAAGGGCAAGGAAGTGACTCTAGTGGAGAAAGCAACTAAGAGCTGGTGCATGGAAAGTGTGGTTGAGCACGGGGTCGACCAAACACCTAAGACCACTGCTATGGGGCGAACCGAGGAGGATACCGAGTTAGGGGCAAGGTTGAGTAAGTCAGCCGAGGGGGTGACCGAGGGGGTAGAAGCTATGGGTAGAGCCTTAAGAAACCTGGAAGAACCCCTCGGAGAAAAAGTTGCGGAACCACGTGCAATCTCGGACGAGCATTTGCACCGAGAGATGGAACCACGTGTACCTATGAGAGAAAGGGTGGCCGAGGCCACAAGGGGCTTCCCTTTCGAGAGCCGATGGGCGGACCACGTGGACACGGAAGAGAGAATCGGCGAAGGGCAGGAGTGCCCTCGTGACAGGGCTGGATGGTGGGCACCGAGGAGGAGGGAACTTGGGGACGGACGACCAACCAAAACGGGGGGAGGACCGCGAAGATGGGCAGGCAGGGAGGTCGGTCCCGCTTGGGCACGAGAAGAGGCGGTAGGAAGGAATGTGGGAGGTCCCGGAGATATCTGGAGAGGGGTTAGGGCCTCGGAATCCATGCACTGGGAATGCGAAGACCTGGGTTACGGGGGTCGCAGGGAGGAGGAATCATGGGGGCCTCCGATACCTCGACCCCGGATGGAGGATTTTGACCCTTTCTGGTACAAACCTTACGATCCAGTGATAGATGGGCCGGCCGATGGACCTTACTTCCGTCGGCATTACGATCGTCGAGTCCCTTATTACGATGTAAACCTGGGGCTAGAGTCACTCTATTTTAACGGAAGGGACGTGACCGGGTTCGTGGAAAAGTGGGTGACCGTGTTCGTGGAAAAATGGGAAAGTTACGCCTACCGGAAAAAGTTTTCGGAAAAAGAATGGATTGACCACTTCGTACAACATTCGGACCCGGAGCTGGACCAGGCCATCAGGGCCGTAAACCTGTCTGATGGAAGGTGGAAGACCTTCAAAAGCAGCCTACTGAGGATCTTTGCGTGTGACGACATGATCCCCACGATAGAGGGGCTGCGTCGAGTGACGAGAGGAGAGCAAGAAAGTCTGGTGGCCTTTACTCGGAGGTTCAAACGCTTGTCCCAGGCCTTAGTGGATAGAGGGATGCTTTCGGAAGTCGACAGGTGCGTAATGTTCATGTTGCACCTGCCTGAGGAGAAGAGGAGGAAGGTCCTCGAAAAGGCCCCTAGGGACTCCGCTAACTTCGAAAGGGTCGCCGAAGTAGTTTTCACCAGGGGAGGTGTGGACGTACGGGAATATATGAAGGAAAGCCTGGACATGGCACTCCGGAGTATGCGCTCCCAAAAGGGTGACGGTCCTCGTGGTAACGAAAGGCAGCCTCCGGGGCCTCCTGCCCAGCGTTGGGGAGGAGGACCCCCGGGTTGGTGAAACGAACCCGACAATCAAGTGAGCTGGAGGGCTGATCGAGAGGCCAGGGGGAATCGGGCCTCGGAATGGGGAAATTTCTGGTGGAAGGATATCAGGGATGGAAGATGGGGAGACCCTCCCCAACCTAGGGCCATGGGGGCTCGACCAGAGGTTAGTCAGGTTAGAACGCCGCCGCCTCCCGGGCCTCCCATGGCAACGGGGGCGCCCACTCACGTCGCTCCCCACCCTAACAACCCACCGCCTCGAAGCGGGTGTGTCTATTGCAACGAGGAGGGTCACATCAAACGAGAGTGCCCTTACCTTACGGAAGCCCCAAGGTTGGGGGTGGTAAAATTGAATGAGAATAAGCGGGTAGTTTGGGGGGACGATTGGGAAGCTGTCTCCAGGGTTGTCGAGCCCCGGCCCGGGG